ACATGCTGTGAACCACTAGAGTGCGTAACGTCAATGCGCGTTCTCCTGTCGCATGCATGTCCACGGAGGCGGACTCGAGCGGAAACGATGCGAACATCCTCAATAATCAAGCAAGGTGCATGATGGTTGTGGCCCGTCCCCAGGCAATTCTCACATGCCGGCTCAAATGATGTGCAAGCTGAGGGCTGGTCTACCTCGGCTTGCCCCCTCGTCCGACCCGGCGGCCGCCGCGTAGCGGTGGGCCCTGTCCATGTCCATCTCCTCCACGACCTGATCGGCCTCGGTCGTGAGGTATGTGGCGCGGGGGTTCAGACTGTTCTGGGCGCTGCGCGGGTCCCTGTGGGCGCTGGCCGCGCTGCTCGGGGCCGCGCTGGCGTCTCAGCCAGGGTTGTCGTTCGCGTCCGTCGCGCGGCGCGGAACTGGCGCCCATGCCGCCGCGGCCAAGTCCACGTGCTCCACCATGAGGTTTGCATGGGGTTGACCAATTCCTTCCGATCGCGATCCACTGGTGCATGCGTGGGATTGGCCTGCGTAGCATGGTGGCAGTCGAGATGCGGGTGGACGGAGTCGACGATGACCTCGGTGAGCCCGGCGTGGGAACCTGGCCGGTGGCCCATATCACGCGACAGAAGCCCAGTGGGCGAGGTAGGGCCACCTGGCCGGGTCAATCTGTTGATGCACGTTTGCGTCTGCGCAGCGCTCCCGCGCGTGGTGTCTGACTGCGTCTCCGCGTCAGCGTAGATGCGCTCCGCGCTGGTCTGTGTCAACTGTCCAGCCCTTGTTTCATCGGCTTCGCTGGCAATGCTGAAGCATGTCTCCTCGGGCGCGTTGGGGCCGCGGTGAGCGGTGGGCTCAGCGCCGGGAAACTCGGGGCACGGAATGGCGAGGTGGCCGCCAGCGCTTCTCCAGGCGGAGAATCTTCTCACCCAGGCCCAGCTATGCCTTGCGCTGGGCCTCAGTGGGGGAGATAACTTTCTCTTTCCCCTCTTCGAGCGCGATGATGACGCGTCTCCGCTGGAGACTCGAGTCCGAGGAGCATTGGAATATCTCCGCCGATGCCTTCTGCAAAATTGACAGCGACTGTTTCCAGCTAGCGTTTCCGCGGGTAGTTGCAGGCGGCGGGAAATGCGTCCATTGCGCGGAAAATAACCGAGCATGCCTCCGCGCGGTTGACATGGAGGGTCTCTGCGAGATCGCGTCTCCGCGTTTCAAAACGAATAGTTTGCCATCTTTTCAGACTGAACCGACACTTTTTGACCAATGCCATTGGCTGAGAGTGGAACCGATATCCAACTGATATACAGCCCGCCGCCAGGCAAGACCATCTTGATCGGCCCCTTGGTGAATCTCTCTTTCCTCCTGGGGCCAGGATGGAAGGCCTCGATGGTTTCGGCTCCCGCGCAGCGTCTCCGCCTCTGCTCTACCACCCGCTCTCCGCAAGGTTCACGCCCCGACGAGGCCTCCCAATCGGAGAGCCGACCATCGTGCTCGTCGCATGTGGGGGGCTCCGATCCCAGGACCATCTGGATGTTGCGATCGGCGCTTGGGATGGCGCATTGGGGACTGAACCACGAGCAGCGTCTCCGCCGTTGATCATCAACACTGTCTCGTGGTTGCAACTGGCATGTCTGCGCGCGCTCCGGGGCGAATCGACGCGGCGCGGCTGTTCCCCGCGCGGCGAAGACAGCCGCTGCCGGCCAGTGCCAAGGGTCATGTCCTGCTGCCGCTGCTCAAGCATGCCCAGCAGCGGGTTGTTGACGGGGTCGTGCAGAATCGGCGCTGGAGCTGGTGTCCGCGCTTCGTCGTTGTTCTGCTCCAGAGTCGTGGTGGTCGGTTGTGGTGGTGCATTATCTGGCGAGTCTCATCGAGATTTTGCATTATTCGGCGAATCCCCTCGCGATTGCAGCAGGCAGCTGCGCGTCGCGTAGCTGGCGCTGCAAGTCCGAAATGTGCGCTTGCAGTGAGATGGGCTCGGCTGTCAGTCGCCGCGAACGCGGCCAGCGTAGGGGCGCGACGACGCGATAATGCCTGGGCCGCGATGCGCTGCGCAAAGGGCCTTCATGGGGGGCCCCTCCGCGGGTTGAACACGTGCGCGCGATTGACGCCGTCCCAGGTTCCGCCATGATGCTGGTGGCCGCACCGCATGCGCCACAGGGTGTCGCGGGGTTGGAACGGCTTCAGGCACGTCGAGCACTGCGTAAACCCGATATCTGAGGATGATCGGGATCTGAGCGTTTGGCCTGAGCCGCCCCTGCCAGTCCAGCGTGGTCTCGATGGCGTTGTACGCCGGCGGGGGTGCTGCTGTGGAGGACGGAGTGTCAGCTCCCTTCTGCGCGTCTCCGCGCTCTGCCCCCTCGGCCGCCTTGGCGCTGGCACGCTTCGCGTCATTGCGTGCCCGCGTGGCGGCGACGAGGTTCTGCTGGGCCGTCACGTTGGCCTGCGTGGCATGATGGATGCCCCTGGCCCCCTCAATGACAGGGCCTGTCGGCGCCGCGATAGAGGCACTTGTCCCGTGCACTTGCGTCTCCGCGTCCAGTGGCATCGGCTGGTAAGACATTTGAAGGCGAAGTGCAGGGCCGGTGGACCTCTTCAACGGTGGAACTCTTCAGCGCACATGGCGACACGCAGTGGAACTCTTCAGCGGTCTGACGCGTGTACCTGTTGGGCGGAATGGTTCGTCGTGCGCATCCCTGTCTATTCACCTCATGGAAGTATTCGGGGTACATCTTGGCGGCGCGCAAAAGGGGGTATGGGGGAGGGGGGAAGGCTTCTTAGAAACACCCTGCTTATTGGAAGGCCTCGGCCTTACGTGTATAGAGAAGGCCCGCGCCTTCTAAGAAGCAGGGGTGCTTCTAAGAAGCCTTTTTTTCCCTACCCCAATCTGCGCGTTGCCGGACATCGGTGCGTCCATTGGAAGTGGCTCTGGAGCGCCAAAGGGAGAACTGGCTAACCGTAGGTGCATGCCGAAGCAGGCCTGCCTTGGACACACCCGAGGCCGTGGGCTCAGGGCTCGGGGCGGGCCTCCGCGCGCACGGCGGACCCCAATCGCCGATCCACCGCCCAGGCCTGCCCGACACGTCTGTCCCGAGGGCCCATCATTTGCGGGATGCCCTCTTCTTGTGCTGCTGGACAGAGCGTTTTCCTCCTCCTCCTCCTCCTCCTCCTCCTCCTCCTCCTCCTCCAAGCTGGTCAGATGCAAGCATGTCGTGGAGCGCCGTGCGCAAGTCGGAACGCCGACCCAACAGCTGGAGTCTCTGCTGTAACTCTGCCGCTGTTCCTCCCTGGCCTGGTGGTGTAGCGAGGGGAGTGCCGGGGGTACTCCAGATTTCGTAATACAAGGGAGGGGGTCTGGACCCTCCAAGACAAGCCATTTCAGACCCCCCCCCGTGGGAGAACCCTCCAAAACGTCGTCCCCAGACCCCCCCAGGCCCTCCAAGATAGCCTGGAAGAGACCCCCCCCGAAATGAGACCCCCCTCCCTTTATTACGAAATCTGGAGTATGCTGGCTTGTCGGCGAGCCCAGCTCCACTGGTTCGAACCGAACGGAGCCGGCGGCGCTCGTTGGCCGCCTCGGGGCTGTCGCGTTGCCGGCCGGGCGCGTGGAGTCCTGGGGGCCGGCGGCCGCTGCCCATGGATCGAAGCCGCTGCGGCCTCAATGGCTGCTGGTGTCATGGTGCCCCCTGGCGCAGGAGTGGGGATCTGCTGTGGCGCTGTCGACCCGTGGTCGGACTGCGTCTCCGCAACGGGGTTTGGGGCGTCACGTCGGATGTGTTTGCGACGAGACGGCAATGGCATTCGACGCTCAAAATGCCTGCCCGTCAGTGTCCATCGGTGTGGAGGTGGTAGCGGCCGCGAGTGGACCCTTTGAGCGTTCCCGCTGAGTCTCCTGAGAACCGGGTTACAGGTTGAGCCGCTTTCCCGCTGCGCCTGAAGCGGCCGAGCGGGCCTTGCGCTCCGAAGTGGGCAGGGTGACCTCCTGCGAGCGAGTTCTGCTCTTGAGGCCCGTCGGTGTCTTGGCGTCCGTCTCAGCGTCGTCGGTTTTGGATTCGGATTCGGCGCTTTTGGAGGTATCGGCGGTGGACAAACCTCCCTTTCGTAAACCACCCTTCAGTGAAAACGGCCCAGGACCGAAACCGACGGAGCTGGACCCGCAAAAATGACGGCCGCGATGCCTTCTCACGAAACGAAAACGGCCAATTCGCTAATCGACGTGTCAAGGTAGGAGGTCTATCAACCTCCGAAGGTATGCGAAGTCGGAGTCGGTGTCGAGCTCATGAGCTTCTTGGCACCCTTGGTGCGTTTGTCGGAGCTCTCACGTCTGTCGCAGGCCTCTCGGGCCTGGCTGGCTCCCCCCTCGGCCGCGTCCGGGCCAGCTGGCTCCCCACTTCGGCGATTACTTCAACGCGCCGTCGAGGTAAGCTGCTCTCACAACGCCACTTGCCCCCAAGAGCCGCAAGCCGCCACCAACCTGCCCTCCGTAACAACATCGCACCACTGGTCCCCCCCTCCCGCCAGGAAGCATTGGCAACAACCGCCGTAATTCTTAGGAGGGGCCGCTGAGGTTGTTCATATGGAAGTAAGAAAAAACAGCACTTACATGTCGTGCCGACCCCGACGTTGGATTCTGACACTGCGGGGATCCTTGAACGTTGAACGATCGGCCGTTTCCGAATCGTCCGATCGTTCCACATCGACAAATTCTGGGTCGCTGGTGGCGCTCAACGTTGAACAGCGGCGGTGGGGTCGGCGCTGGTCGACACGACGCGAACCTGCCGAAGGAAGGACCAGACGCCGCGTCACGGCACGAGTCGTGCGCGCGAGCGGCTGGTTGCCCGAAGGGCGCAGCTGAGGTTGGCCGGCACGACCCAGCAGGGGGCCAGGACGAGCGAGATATACAACATGGTTTGGCCGATGTTCGCAGTGGCACTCGCCGCGGGTCAGGAACACGTACTCAGTGCGGCCTGCTTTTGCTTGTTCCGTCGCGGCTGGCGGGGTCAGTCCTCAATGCCGATGTCTTGAAAGGCATCGAGACCATGCTTTGGCCTCGGAAGTGTGGTGGCAACGATCACCGTCAAAGAGCGCTGGCGGGAATAGCTGCAAGCTAGACACATGCCGTTGCCTACCACCTGGTGCTTTCTATTCCCTCTCTCTCTGTCTCCTTTGCATTCACTGCGCGGCAATACTCAACATCTACTGGCTGCACCTCGCGATATCTAGTTGCTGTACCTCCTGCGGCGCCGCACAACACGACGCTCCGATCCCTGGGGTTGGCTCCACCTGCGGAGCACATGAGCGGGCCGCACTCAACATCATCCTGCCGTGGTCGAACTTACTCCTCCATCCCTCATTGTACCCGCCTTGCAGACGTGTTGCAAAGGATTTCTACGTAGATGTTTGCCCGAAGCGGCAAGCGAAACACGAAGTGAATTTCGTGTGGGTGTTTTTCCCTACCTAGGCTCTGCCTGGAAGGTGGGTTCTTACTCCGTTTGCTTGAAAAGGGGCCGGGCAATGTTCCACGCCCCGGGCGGTTCCCCCGGCATCCGCCCCGCGGTTCCCCCAGTATCCGCCCCGCGGCTCCCCCAGCTAAACTACGATAAGCTAAGCTAAGCTTAGATTATCTCATTTTAGCTTAGCTTAGCTTTGCAAGGCCTAGCTTAGCTTAGCTTATCTTAACTTAGCTTAGCGTATCTCATCTTAGCTTAGCTTAACTTAGCTTAGATTTGCCTGGCATAGCTTCACTTAGCTTGGCCTGGTTTAGCTTAGCTCAGCCTAGCTTAGCTTAGTTTAGCTTAGCTTGGCCTGGCGTACCTTACCTTAGCTTAGCGCAGCATTCGCACGACATAGCATAGCAGAGCCAAGTCTAGCATAGCACAGCTTAGCACAGCTCAGCATAGCATAGCAGGGCGCAACATAACATCGCATAGCATAGCATTCCTTAACATAGCACAGCGCAGCCTATCATAGCATAGCGCAGTATAGCATAGCATAGCGCAGCAAAGCGTAGCATAGCATAGCACAACGCAGCATTACATCTCATAGCATAGCATAGCCTAGGCTAGCATTGCATAGCACAGCGCGGCATAGCATAGCGCCGCATAGCATAGCATAGCATCGCCTAGCATAGCCAAACGCCGATGATGCACCGATCTGGGAGTTGCTGCCGCTGGACAATTTCGTAGGCACGCTCGGTGTAGCAAGTGTTGCACAGCCTTGCTCAATGCCAAATCGTGCGGTGTAGACCGGATACGGAGCATTCTCAAGCACACCCGGTGAGCGAATGCGAAACCATGCGTGTGTGTATGTGTGTGTGTCTGTGCGCAGGCAAAGCAAAAACAACATCAAGAACAGCTAACACAAAAGCAAATCGACGTCAACAGCAAAAGCAAAGGCAAATGCAAAAACAAAGGCAACAACAAAAGCAAAGGCAATGCACATCAAACACAACACCGATGCAAGAGTTTAGATGTAGATGTAAGGGTGGGTGTATATGTAGATGTGGATGTAGGTGTAAATGTAGATGTATATGTAGGTGCAGATGTAGATGTAGATGTGCGTCTCGCTGTTGATGTTGATGTAGACGCGGGTGTAGATGTACATGTAGCTGTCGGTGTATATGTAAATGTTGTTTTCCTAAATGTTCCAACTCCTAGGTCGGGTCGCACTGGGATAATTGGTCTTCATTCCTGGCCAACAAAATATCCAAACGAAATTCACCTCGGAATTCGGAACGCACTTATCCAGGACACTCCGGGCCCATCCTGTCGCTTTCGAAGCGCAATCCGCTCTGCGATGTTGGCACCATGCCCCCCCTCGCAATCCGACCATCCACAACTCGGAAGGAACTGTGTTCCTTGCCCCCGTCGGGGAACCCATCTGGGACGAAACCAACATCAAGGCAAAATCGGACCAGGACGTATCGGGATCTCTGGATCTGGCAGTTCTGGAGGATGTATCGTGCGCCGCGGCCCTTCCAGGGCGCTCCAGGACGCTCGGGTAGACGCGCTCTGGAGCGCCCTGTCCCCGCCCCGCCCGAGCTTTGGCAAGCAACTCCTGGGAGGTCCGCGTACGAACGATGAATGGTTATTTGGCTCGATTGAGGGGCCATTGAGCTGGATGACCGTTCCTGGCCCCGCCCGACCATCCCAAGGGGCCACCACATAGAAAGCAGCTATAAACCAGCGAAGAGCCGCACAGCAATCCGCCGACCTCTCGGTGTCGTCCTCGTCCTCGTAGTCTCCAATCCCAGGGAAGTCGGGGAACCAGGAAACGGAACGTCGCAGTGAAGTCGAAGGGAAACCTCCGCTTTTTTACACCCTCCTTGCCAAGGGTGGGGCGGGGGGTACTTGGGTCAGACTGTTCCCTCCCCCCTGGGGTCCAGGCGGGTCCTGGGCGGTTGGGGTGGCGCCAGCGGGGCCCCGCCGTTAGGGTCGGCGGCGCCAGTCGTAGGGCCCCGAAACTGCTCCCAGGAGACCCCCTGATGGCGTTCGGGAGTGGCTCAGAGAAACCTCCCCGAAAAGTCCGACCCACCGCCCAAGCACGGTGGCATGATTCGAGGGCCACCAGGTACAATTCTGAAGCCTACGAAACTAGAAACCAAAACGCCATAAACATAAACTGTTGGCGCTCCGCGCGGATTTCTTGGATCCGCGCTGGGCCCCCCATCCCTGGCGCGCGGAGCGCGGAGCGCGCCGTGGGCGGCGCCGGAGGCGCCGCTGGGGGGAGCCACGGCGCAGATCCAAGAAACCCGCGCGGGACGCCAGAAATTTATGTTCATGGCGTTTATTTTTGAGAGTCAGCGAGGAACCACGCAGAAGTTTGACTTTACTTTTGGGGGGCGCCGCCGCTTCCCCCGCTGTGGCCAGCCTGCTCACGGAGGCCTGGAGAAGCCAGCGCGCACTGCGGGGCACCGCTGCTGCCTCTCCCCCCCGCCTCCTCCCTCCCCTTATCATCCCTCCCTTCTCCCTTCTTCTCCTCCCCCCCCTCCTTCCTCCTCCCCCTCCCTCCTCCTACCTCCTCCTCCCGCCGTTCGTCCTCCCCCTCCTCCCCCCCCCTCCTCGTCCTCCTCCGGATGCCGTGTGAAGTGCCCCCGGCGCTGCCTAGCGCCCCCCGCCCACCCCCCCGCCCTTGCTGGGCAGCACGGGCGCCCCCCGCGCCCTTTCGCCAGCGTCGCGCCGGCGACCCCTCACGCGCGCGGTTTGGCCCTTCCTCGGCGGGGCGGTGGATGGACCCCGCAGAGGGCAATCCCCACCAAGCCGCAGCGTGCTGGGCTCGGTCGGCCACCCCGCCCAGGTCGCCGCCGTAGGGGCCGTAGTCTCGTCGCGGGTGGTTCTTCTCTCCCGGCCCCTGGCCTGGCACGTCTGCTTGCGGTTGCTTCCCCTCCCCCCCTCCTTGTCCTTCTCCTCTCTTCCTTTCTGCTCGCTGCTTCCCTCCCTTTCCTTTCCTCCTGCCTGCTGTCCCCGCCTGGCCCCGTTTCTGCCTGCCCGCCCGCCCCGCCGGCCCTGGCCTCCCACCTGGGCGTTCGTCGTCGTCTGCCTGCTTCTCCAGTCTTCGCCCCCTTCCGCCATGCAGCACAGCCTGCCCTGGACCAGCGCGGCGCATACACATGAAGGTGCATCCCCGCGGAATTCCGACCATTTCTGCTCGTCCAGGGATGCTGCTCGGACGCAGCTGGCGTGTTTGGGCCATTCGACCCTGTCGCTTTGGGCGGAGGACCTCCCTCCTCTTCCTCCTATTCCTCCTTTTCCTCTTCCTCGTCCTCCTCGTCCTGCTCGTCCTCCTCCTCCTCCTCCTCCTCCTCCTTCTCCTCCCCCTCCCCCTCCCCTCCCCCTCCCCTCCCCCCTCCTCCTCGTCCTCGTCCTCCGTCCTCGTCTCGTCCTCCTCCTCCTCCTCGTCCTCCTCCTCGTCCTCCTCGTCCTCCTCGTCCTCGTCCTCCTTTTCCTGCTCCTCCTCCTCCTCTCCTCCTCCTCCTCCTTCTTCACCCCCCCTCCTCCTCCTCCTCCTCCTCCTCCTCTTCTTCGTCCTCCTCCTCCCCTCCTCTCCTCCTCCTCCCCTCTCCTCCTCCCCCGCTTCCTCCTCCTCCTCCCCTCCTCCTCGTCCTCGTCCTCCTCGTCCTCCTCGTCTTCCTCGTCATCTTCCTTCTCCTCCTCCTCCTCCTGCCCCTCCCCCTCTCCCTCCTTCTCCTCCTCCTCCTCCTCCTCCTCCTCCTGCTGCTCCTCCTCCTCCTCCTCCTCCTCCTCCTCCTCCTCCTCCCACTCCCCTCACCATCATGCGCAGAAACAAACGCCTGCAATTCATGACGAAGGTCAGCTGGAACCTGGCCGGGCGCAGGGCGCGCGCGTCTGGCACCCCAGACCCGATGCGGGCGCGGAGAAGAGCGCCGTCCCCAGGGGGATGAAGGCTCAGCTCGCGCCGACGTTGACGGGGGGCAATTCTATGGGGATGTGGCCGAGAGGTTCAGGCAAGAGGCCCTTCAGCAGCGGCGTGCCCAGGGGGGAATTGAGAGGAGGCAGGCCTTCTCGAAGGCGGCGGGACGGGCGTCTCGGGAACCCTCTGGCGTCCTGAGCAGCCGTCCGTGTCTTCGGTAAAGGATGCGAGAGCTTCACAGAAGGCCAGGAGCCTTCCGTGGAGGAGCAAAGCCGCTGCCGGGCCTGGGTGCCCAGGGGGCGTGCTCGCATGCCTGCTGTTGTCGGGGAGGCTTCTTCAGCCTTCTGGGGCCGACCCCCCTCCTCCTCCTCCTCCTCCTCCTCCTCCTCCTCCTCCTCCTCCTCCTGCTCCTTCTTCTCCTCCCCCACGCCTGGGGTGGTGAGCCGCTGACTGGTACGGGAGCCATGGGCACGGTGCCCGATAAGCAATGCGGTCCACAAACTAACAGCGGCCGCCGTAGGGCACGCGACCTTCTGTCTCAAGATGGGCAGCGTCCTCAGCGCCGCTGACAGCGAGTCCTGCTCAACAAGGAACAGGAGCCGCAGTGCTCAGCGGCGAGCCCAGGGGGGAACAGAGAAGGGGCGGGCCTTCTCAGAAGGCTCGGAAGTCCCCCAGCCTTCTGAGAAATTTTCTAAGCCCTCGCCGAAGACGCAAACAACGTCTCAGAAGGCGCGAGGGCTTCTGAGAAGTCCCGCAGCTTTCGGAGAAGGCCTTCTTTTTCTCACTTCCCCCCTCGCTCGCCGCCGAAGTTAGTCTCTGGACCCATTCTTCCCGTACCCGTTTCGATCACACCGAGCTGAGCCGTCGCTGCAACACCCTGGACTCCCCGGCAGGGGCGTCGAGACGGAGCGCAGTACGCACAATTAGGATGCGGCTCCGCCGGGGCGTTTGAGGTAAATGGGCTGCGGTAGTAGTCGGGCGCACGCCGCCGCTGCAGCATGCCGCGGCATTGTGTTCTTCATCAAGAGGTCCGTTATCTATACGCACTGTGGGACTTCGGGCGGGTAGTAATGGGGGGGTCAAAGAGGCCCTAGGGCCCTTGAGGGCCCCTTTGGGGTACCGGCTGACTCCAAAAGGAGCCCTAAAGGGCCCCTCTAGGGCCCTTTAGGGCTTCATCCCCATGTGGGTCAACCCCCATTACTACCCGCCGGAGTTATGTGGCAAGGGCGTCCTCATTGTCTAGCCTGTGGTGTCAGAAATATCGTATGTGGCCCCGCTGTTTTTCATTGCCGGGCGTGCTCACCGAGCTATCGTGGGTTTCTCTGAGGTCAAGCAGCCCCTGATCATTGTCATCTTTTGTACGCTGGCGTGGATTACGCATCCGTGGATCTGGCCCGTGGGCGCCAGTTCCACGGATCAGGGAAGAACACCCTCCAAGAATGAGTCTAATGCCGATTGATTTGGCGACGAAGCGCCCCGATTCTGTAAGGAAACGGGGCCCGTAGCTAACACACGCACCCTGATCAATTCTTGCGCTTCCTCTGAGGAGGGTGTCGAGCGCATTCCCCAGACCCACCCCTGGCCGTCGCCGACACCGCCGCCCACCCAGCGCGAGGGAGGATCGGGAGCCCAGGGTCGCGGGCCGAGCCATCTCTCACTGCCCCTCCCAATACTCTTCTTCTACTTCTTCTCTTCCTCGGTCCATTTAAATCTCTCCTCCCTGTCGGTAGGGATGGCTGGGCGTTTCGCCTGTAACTTCCTTGACATATATGATCCTGTAGCTTGAAAACTTGCGACAATTTCCCGGATGGAGGGCGGGTGGTTTTCAAAATTTCGCTCTCGCCTAAGGGCCGTGAAAACTAACTTTCAACATCTGCAACCGTTTCATGGATGGAGGGCGGGGGGCCTTCAAAATGTGGCTCTCGCTCTAGCGCTCCGCACAATCGTTCACCGAGTTTGCAGCACTCTCACGGACGGAGGTCTGTTCTTTTCCAAATGCGGCCCTCGCCTCAGCGTCGCGCACGTTCATGTTCAACGGCTGCAGCACTTTCATGGCTTCGTGTGGTCGAAGTTCCAGGAGTATTTCTCTCGCGCGATTTGGGATTGCTAGGACGCAGTAGTCATGTTGAACTGCGGTGCTGGAGCCCCAGGAAGTGCTTGCTGGCACGACTCAGGGACGTCAAGACGCCGCAGCCACGTCGATTCGCGGCGCTGAAGTTCCAGCAGTGAGAAACAACATGTGTTATGGACCTGTGAAGAAGGGACCTGGAAGGAAGGTTTATTGCAACATCGTTGATGCGTCTTCGAACAACACTGGTCCTCCTCCTCATCTTCCTCCTCCTCCTCCTCATCTTCCTCCTCCTCCTAATCCTAATCCTCCTTCTCCTCCTCCTCCTCCTCCTCCTCCTCCCTACCCTCTTCCGTCCCTCCCCCGCGGGCCCGGAACGGGCCGGGCCTGATGTTGTCCCCGCAGCAGTTGTCGGCAGAGTTCATCCTCGTGCAGCCGAACGGCCCGCACTGCCTCGCGGTCGTCGGGCCCGCCCGAGGGGAGTTCAACGGGAGGGAATCCAGGGCGAGTAAGTCGGGAGCGGCCAAGAGGGAAGTGTCCAAGAGGGGGGGGTGCAAATCATGACCGGCGGCATGTGCGCGGCCCAGCGGGGGGGGGACCAGGGACGTAATGAAATAAGAAGAGGGGCCATGAAATCTGGGGAAATATCATGGCCTCCGCCATGATGTCCACCCCCCCCTAGTCATCACCCCCCTCGTTGCCGCCCCCGAGTAAGAGGGAGGAAGAGAGCATCCAGGGCAGATGGAGCATACAGAAGGCAGGAAGGAGGGGCGGTGGGAGGGAGGGATGGGATGGGGGAGTTGGAGAGGATGAGTCAGGAGGGGCGGGGAGGGGAAAGAGGAGGGGAGCATGAGGAGCTGGAGGGAGGAGGACAGACTCGCTCCTCGACGCCAGCAAGCCTGCCACTGCGAGGCAGGCCTCACGCCCTGGCGGATCCCCTGGCGCGCGCCGCCAAGAGGAGGACCCAGAACACTGGCGTCACATAGAGATGGTGACGGTCGGAACTCTTCTTAGACCTGTGGGGGCACGTCTCGGAACCCGGGACTGTCCAAGAACGGCCAGGGACGGA